CCTGTCGTCTTTGGCTTCCTGGGCAATGCCTCCAACATCCCGTACCTGAGCACGGTAAGTGGATGATGCATGTGGCTTGGTGGTGGTGCCTTGGGGTGGGGGGCCCTGGTGAGACTGTGGCCCCTGCGCAGCGGACCCTTCCCCATCTCCCCTCAAGCCCCTTTCCCCAGGTTGGCCAGCCTCAGCACCCCTTCCCGTCCCCACACCCTCTCCATCTGACCAGAGCAGCTGAGGAGAGGGGACCCGGGAGCATTGTGCCTGAGGCCTGGGTAGGTGGCTATTCATAGCTCCTTATTAGAGCCAAAGAAACAGATTCAGAGAGTCTAGGTGACCCAGCCAGAAAGTGCCAGGGATTTCTGGAGAGCTGGCTGAGTCAGCCCCAGGCATGGAGAGGATGTATGACAGCCAATGACAGCAGCGGTGGGTGGCAGATTCTGCTCTCTCCTGGGGGCAGGCATGGGGCAGTTGTCCCCAGCCGCTGCCCCTCCCTTTCTCTAAAGCGTATTTTCTGACAGAATGGGAGCTCTCGGAGAAGCTCGGGGCGGCCCTGCAGCCAGCTGGCTCATCCCTGTGGCCCCCTCTCCCTATCTGCCCTTGGCACCGCTCCCAGCTCTAAAGACCCACTCCACAATAACCTAGATAGAGACGGAGTGTGCTCCTCACTCTTTGTCTGGAGTAATGATTCTTCACTCCCACAGCTGTTCCAGAGGCTTCAGGGCACCAGATCAATGGTCTGAACAGCAGAGATGAGCTCCTTGAACTTGGATCATTGGTTGAGGGGGCTGGAAAGGAAATGGGGTCCGCCCCCACCCTGCACTGACTCATCTCCCGCAACATACCCAGACCTCTCCAAGTCCAAAAGGAAGGATGGAGTTGAATGACTGACTGCAAATCCCCAAGTCAACTCAAAAGGCTGTTGGCATGGTTGGGAGCAGAGATCCAGGGGGTGCCCCATGGAGACCGGACTGGGGCTGGTATCACATCCTGCCCCGCATTTATGGGAGGAAAGCAAAGATTAAATCCCCAAGCTGTGTGTCTGAGACTCAAAGTCACTGTCTCCAGCCTGTCAAGTCCAGCCTCTGACTCAGGGCAGGCCGACGCACGGCATTCCATGGAGTGAGGGGCAGGCCTGCTCCCGGAAGCTATCATTTTTATCCTGGTGGTTAACAGTCCTAATGAGTGAGATAATGTTTGTAAACCCCTGTTAGCAGTAGGCATCAGACAAGTGATGGGTATTAATCCTGCATACTGGTGGGAAATGCTACTCAACTATTAATTAGATGGATGTGTGCACAGGGCACCCACAGATAGCCCCTGTGCTGAGAGAGCTTCCTGTCTGAGGGGTGGAGACATCGCCCCTGCCCTCGGAGAGCCCAAGTCTGATGGAGGAGACATTCTCTGTTCTGGCGAGCCCCTCGGCCCAGGGTAAAGAGTGTTCTCGCAGGCCCAGGAAGGAGACAAGAGTGCCTTGCAATGCGTGCATTTAGTAAGTCCCTGTGAGGGCCCTCGGAATCTATACCGAGCGTGGGGGTGTGTGCTGAGGGTGCAAAAGGAAGCCGGTCACTGCTATCAGAGCAAGGTACACAGCAATCCCAAAGCAGTGTGATCATGAGACGTGCAGGGGGGCCCGGGAGCAGCAGGGTCAGGTGCGTCAGGTGCTGTACCTGGAGGTCAGCTCTCTGGGTTTCCTGGGCACTCCCCAGGGACACCCACCTTCTAGAGCTGCCCCTTTATTTTGCTTTCTTCGTCCCCTAGGTCAGATTGTGCCTTTCTCTCCCTTCCGCCCCCTTCATTCCGCTCCCTTCACACAGGGTGTTCTTGTGGCTCTTGTCTGAGGGCACGAGCCCCCCCTCCTCTCCCCCTCAGATCATCCATTTCCATGTCATTTGGGGCAGAATGGGTCTCCCGCTAAGTGGGTCTGGGGCGAAGGGGGTGAGGAGGATGGAAGGACCAGTGGGAATCAGAAAGCCAGCCTTGGAGGGCTTCTGGAGGGGGAGAAAGAGGCTGATTTCAGTCCTGAGAGCCAGGCAGTGGGAGGCAGCAAACGCTGGGCTCTCTGAGGGGTCTGGGGGGGGGCGGGGAGGAGACAGAGGTGGGCCTATGCCTGGAGACGTCACCTTGGCTTTATAAAACGGACGTGATCAGGCCACTGCTGAGCCCAGCTCCCCTCTCTGTGGGTGTTCAGCAACCCAAGTAGCACCTGGAGACCCCACGGAGCTCCGACCCCGCTGGACAGAGCCAAGGTAGGTGCACGGGGGCACCCCCACTTGGAGAGGGGTCTGCCTAGCCCCAGAGAGGATCCCCAGGGAGGAGCAGGAATTTCCTTCTAAGACTGACAAGACATATCCCTGGCTGGCAAAGGGGGCGCTGATCTTTCCTGATTATCAGGTTGGCCAGATGATTCTGGGATTGTCTCAGTGAATACCCTGACTCGCATTTTTGAAACCAGGACCTTGGAGAATCCCTTACTGTGGAAGGAATAAAAGCAGTGAGCGAGCTCTTGCTGGGATGAGAGGCCACAGAAGCTTTTGGAGGGGGCTGGGAAACCCCTCAGGGCTCAGGGGCTCCATAGGACTCCTCCAAGCCTTTCCCCCAACGTATGGATGGCAAGTACAAACCTAACCAAAGAGCCCCTACGCGCCCTGCTAGCCCCCTGCACTAAGAACTGCGGGTTATTCCAGGAAGGAAGCCACCTCACTTCAAAAGCCTTCCCACCACGCCTGGAATCTATTACCCACTAGGTATAAAGTCTGGGGCGAGGGCACAAGAATTGCCCACAGCAGGTCAGCCTCTCCAGGCCCCGTGAAAGCTGTTCTTTTCCAAACAATTCAACTCTACCACATGTGTTAAATGATTCTGTGTGCTGGGAAGTGAACTGAGAGTTGGGTGCAGGGGTGTGTGTGTGTGTGTGTGTGTGTGTGTTCTCACCTGGCCAGGTGCTAAGTGCTATCTATGAGGAGGAGGAGGTGCTACGGGTGGGAGGAGCTTGGAAGAAGGAACCCTTACCTAACCACACAGCCTGCCCACCCCCCACCTTCCCCACTCACCGCCCTGCTCCTACAGAGCAGCCAGAATGCTCCATCTGAAATGCAACACACATGCCCCCTCTCAGGCTCAGTCTACTCGGGGATAAAGCCCCCCTGTGTCCCTCCTCCAGCCTCACCACTGTCTCTCTCCAGCAAAGCTCTGCGCTCCCGGCAGGCTGGAGGGCCTGTGGTCCCCGCCCCGCCCGGCCCCTGCTGCCCAGCTCCAGCGCCCCCTGCTGGAAATGCCTTCCTTAATCCTGTATTCATGCGGCTGATCCGTGCTCCGAAACTCAGCTCCGGAACCACCCCCCGCCTCGGGGAAAACACGCCTGCCCCGCTCCAGGGTGAGCTCCCACGGGCTCCCACAGCTCCCTGGGTACCCACACTCCCCCAGCCTATCATTTCCGGTGTTATTTTGAAATGGTCGGCTAAGATGGCTCAATTTCTTGAGCTTGATCTTGGGGAAGGGCTGGAAACAAGCAACCCTGGGTCTTAGCACACCTGTGCTCCCCCTAGCATCTAGCACAGCACCTAGCTGGTGCTGTGATCAGGTATGATCTCTGAACTAACCTGGACTCTGCATCCACGGTTTGAAGCCATAAAAGAAACGGTTTTCCACTGCTCTCTCTAATGAACTGATCCTGCCTCTCCTCTTTAGAGCAGGTGCAGAAAGACTTGTCTGGGTTTCAGAGTGTCACAGAATCAGTCTGTAAGGAAAAACGACTGAAGGGATAGTCAGTGACCAGTCTGATACAATGCTCTTATTTCACAGAGGAGCAATATGGTCCAGAGATGGGGGTAACTTGCTCACGCCCCACAGGGAGTGGGGCAGAGCTGGGGCCAGACTGAGTGTTCTTTTTTTTTTAAGATTTTATTTATTTTATTTGACAGAGACACAGTGAGAGAGGGAACACAAGCAGGGGGAGAGGGAGAGGGAGAAGCATCTGGTTTCCCGCAGAGCAGAGAGCCCGATGCGGGGCTCGATCCCAGACTCTGGGATCATGACCTGAGCTGAAAGCAGACGCTTAACGACTGAGCCACCCAGGCGGCCCCAGACCTGAGTGTTCTTGAGCCCATTCAGGAGTCTTCCTCTCTGCCCGGTGCCCAGGTCCTGCAGAGGAATGGGGGTGGGGCAAGAACAAAGGTATGGACAGGGCTGAGCAACCATTAGCAGCCCACGGGCACCATTGATAGCCCTGCCCCTCCCACTTGCCCCCCTGGACCACAGAGGCTCTGGCCAACACCCTTTCTGTCCAGCCTTTGGACCTGCCTCCCCACCAGTTTGTCTTTACTCATGTTTGTTGGACAATCTCAAAGTGCCTGATGGCTTTTTCAAAGACAAATTCAACTTGAGAGCTGGAAGGGCTGGGGTGGAAGGCAAAGGGGGTGTAGTGAGGGTCAGGGTACGCAGCTCCCACCTCAGCGGCCAAAATCACGAGGTCAATCCAATTCATATCTTCTTGGAGCCCACGAAGAATAGAATAAGGAGAAAATTGACCCGATGAATCAGGGAAAGTTTTTTCTCTTCTTTGTATTACAGACAATGAGACAATTTAGTGACAGTCCTCAAGGCTGTGAAGGGTTATGAGAACAAGATGATTGCCTCTTTCTTCCTTTTTTCTTGAAAAACAAAAGGAATGAAGTCCCTGTTGCCGCAGGAGGGAGCTGGGCCAGGTTCGGGAAGGCGCAGTCTAACGGGAGAGTTGGGCACAGCAAGCCCAGCATGGAGCTCCTAGGCTCCAGAGAATGTCCCGACATCAGGGGGCTCCACTCAGTGGAGCTCCTTGCCCTGCTTGACTTCACCCCCCACCCCCAAGGCCCTCATTGCCACACTGCCCCTCACTCCAGGGCTCTTCTCGTCACGCTGGGCTCTGCCCCAGCACCCAGCCCACACCGTGCACCTGGCTTAGTCCCTCTCCCCCTCCCTCTGTCTCAGCCTCAGGACACTGCCAGGACCTGTGCCCTCTCACCACGATGAATTCACTGGTTTCTTGGCAGCTGATGCTTTTCCTCTGTGCCTCCTCCTTCAGGGAGACATTTGAAAAGATGGCACCCATGGAGAATCCTAGACCGACAGGTATGCTTTGTCTGGGAAGAAGGGTGGGAGTTGTTGCAAAATGAGAGTCACATATTTTTCAGTGAGGCTAGTCTATTGATGTGAGTTTCACACAGCATTAAATCAGAACCTAAGACTAGCACATGCAACTTATTTGGGGGCCCCGTGAATCTTGCAAGTAAGGGATGGCTTACTGCTTTTTATGGGCATCAGTAGGCTCACCTAGGTTCAGGTGCTTGTTCACCACTGAGCTCCTTCATGGTCTTCTCACACTGTGTTCTCTGCTCTAAGCCAACCACCTGTCTGAGCAGATCCATTGGGAAGAAATTTACTATGCAAGTTTCTTTCATCAGTGATCTCAGACCCTTTGTGGGGAATTTGGAAAAAAAGAAAAAAGACTTAAACAAAAGGACAGATCCTTAATACCTGTCAACCTTATGAGTTCAATGTGCAACTGATTCGCTAGAGAAACTGAGGCCCAAAGAGGTAAAGAACCCCCCCAAAGTCAGCCAAATGCTGCAGCAGCCCAGCAGGTGCAGCAGCTGCCAAGAGTGTGTCTCTGAGGGGAACAAGCCAGTCCCTGAAGTCCCCGAGACAGGAGTTGTGGGTTTAACACTGCTTGGTGGTCAGTTTCCTGGGCAAACTAGCACATGGCTTAGCCTCTCCAGCCTGCGGTTCTGGCTATGGAACTCGGAGCGTACCCTCTACACAGAGGATAGCATCAAGCCCACAAAATATCCCAGAGCAAAGAGAATATGCCCCCGGGTGTCCTTGGCCAACAGTGTCTTCTCTCCTGGGATCAGGTATTCTTTCTGGCTGAGGGAGGCTCCCCCAGAGAATAACCTCGCCGCAGCCCCAGGGACACTGACCTGTTGGTCAGCAAATGGCTTTAGGTGAGGCCACAAACAATAGCCTGAGAGGTTATCCTACTGCAGGGATGATGGGCTTAAGCGGGAAGGAAGCCATTATCCCTCCCTGCCTCAACCAGGCCCTAAGCAAGGTGGGAGGGGCATTCTAGGAAGATTAGCATTAACTCTGAACCACGCCCACACTCCCCTTCTCCAAAGTCTGCCAAGGCATTGAAGAGCAGGGCCCAAAGCCAACTACCCCCCTCAACACACATCCACTCACACACCAGGCCTCATTTCCACTAATCTCATGCCACAATTGGCTGGGGTTCTTGTCTACTCAGAGCTAGTTGCACTATTTTACTGCCAAAAATTAAAGTGAACTTAACAAGCCTTTTGCATGTGAAACGCATTCAAATTAGCCTTGTTAGCCCTCAGCGTGCAGGGGAGAGATTATACCTACAGTGGGGGGAGGTGAGTAGGTTAAGGTGACCCAGATAATTTCCCATTCTTCACTGAGTCTTCCTGTAGCTTATTAGTGGTCACAGTAATTGGGGAGGGGTGTGGTGCACAGTGGTCCTAGTTCTACTCTTGTTTCTGTAACTACAGGCTGTTCACTCGCTTTTATATATTTAACAAGCATTTGAGGCCCTACTGCATGCAGGTCACCGTTTCAAGCACTCAGAGATAGAGCTGAATGAACATGGCTCCCACCTGCCCCCAGGAGCTCAGTCCCATGGGGGAGCCTGATGCAGAGACAGCAAGTACTGCAGGCTTATTTCCAAGCTCTACCCTGTTTGCTTCCAAAAAGGAAGTGATTTGAAATAAAAGATGTTTAAGATCGTCCTAGAAAACCTTTGCAACCAAAGCTATGTTCAAAGAGAGAGGAGCCAATGACCTAACCATCACCTGAGCTAAGACGCTCCTGCGGGTGGTGCCCCGCTTTGGGCTCTGGGCTTCCTAGAGGTCAAGGAAGGAAACGGAAGCACAGGATAGGAATATGAGCCGGTGTTCCAAAGCCGTCTCTCCTGGGCCCTGGCCTCACCGCAGCCTCTCTCTGTGGCTCTGTCCTAGGCCAGCGGCTCGGACCCCAGGCCCTCCTGGCCCCCTGGGAGCAGAGCCCGCGCTGCGCAGAGAGGAAGCCCGCCGGGGCCCGGCCCAGCCCGCGGGAGGCCTCGCTGTGCCCGCCTCCCGAGAGCCCCGCGGGGCCCCAGCGGCCAGGACTGTGCGCCCCCCGCAGCCGCCTGATGCCCGCCCCCCGGGGCGCGGTGCTGGTGCCGCGGGAAAGGGACCTGTCCGCCTACAACTGGAACTCCTTCGGCCTGCGCTACGGCAAGCGGCAGACTGCGCCTCCCGCAAGGCTCGGCGGCGGCGCCGGGCGTGGCTGAGCGCGAGGTGCTGGGGGCCGTGAACTTCAAACTTCAAACCCGGACTAGGGAACCGGGCTTGCGGGATTGGTGCGGGGGTAGGGGGTAGGGCAGTGGGAGGGGCACTGGGGTTTCTGTCCTGAAGTAATAAAGGGAATGCTGCCAGCACACCCTGGAGTGATTTGTGGCTAATTTTTGCAAGCAGCGCAGATGAGATTGTTTTCCTTCTCTTCACTTGAAGCTTTTGCTGGTTTTAAGATAGCTTTTAGTGTTATCAAGCACAGATAACAGCGCTTTTCAAACTAGAGATGTGAAGGACCAGACTGTTTTTCCCCAATCTGGGGCAGATCGATACTTACAAACACACACACAGTGAATCACTAAAAAAACTGAAAAATTTCAAAATAACTAGAGAAACCCAGACTGGATGCTGCTTTGGTGTTTCAGCAATATCAAATTTCTGTTAAAATTTCTGAAGCTGTCCTCTTCACTCCTAGACTTCTCTCATTGCCCACAGGTTACAACATTTTGCAGAGAGGCATGAGCCGTGGCTCACACTCTGAGTAGCCCTGATCTAGGCCAGGGGGAGACAGCATCAGCACATTTCCCTTTTCAAGGGAAGCTTACTGCCAGTTGGACAGCTTGATCAGGAAGACGATGCCAACCACTCCCCTGTCCACCGAAGTTTAAAGATCACTGCAGCCCCACAGTCAGACTGCTGCTGGGGTGCTCAGACCCAAGGTCCTGATGCCCCACTCTGCATGCAAGGGGGTGTCAGCAGTGCCCTCGGGCTATCCATCCCCCTCCCCCAGGGAAAGCCCTGGATGGGTCCCATTCTTGACGTGTATCTCTTTTCTGCATCCTTGGACTCACCCAGAGGGCTGGGCTTGTGGTAGCCCCATTTTCACAGGTGAGAACCCTGAGGGTCAGAAAGATACAGAACTCCCTGAAGGCACACAGCCAATGAACGGTGAGCCTCATCAGGCTCCCAACACCAGCACCTGGCTCCCCGGCTTCACAGTCACGCCTGAGAGGGAAGGGTTTCCATCTGAGTCAGCCGTGCTGGACATCAGGAAAGGTCAGTCTGCTTGTGGGGACATTCTTGGAGGCCCCCAAGAGCTGGGGCGTTGGTTGCTATAGTAAGAAGTAGAGGCTTGTTGGGAGGGAAACAGAGGAAATCCACCCCTCTGCCCACAGGAAAACCCGGCCCTATTTGGCAGCCTGCAGCTACTCCTACCCTGCTTGGTCGAGGATGGAAATGTTCTTTCCCAGAAGGATTATGGGGCCACCGCCATCCTGTGGAGCGCCACAGTGTTCCACCCATTACAGAAAGCAGGACTCCGCTGAATGAAGGCGGACGTGTTGCTATGGCAATGAGATAGGCTGCCATGGGAACAGGACAACCCGCCCCACCCCCATCTCTACCCTGAAACCGTCTTCCAGGATCTTTCAAATTATTGCTACTGCTGTGAGCTCATGTCCTAGCGTGGCATGACAGGGGGATGCTGTTGATATCTAGAAGGCACTTCCTCCCCCAAACAGCCCAGGGCGCGTCTCTGTGCCTCTGGGAGAGGAGTCATAAACTCAGCACTTATCTGAGAAGTGAATTATTCTACTCTCTGACCCAAATCTTTCTCTGATGAAGACTGGGTGGGAAGAGGCTGAAGGGGTCTCTGAAATGTGCTCTTAGGCAGCCCAGTTTTACAAAATTCCCTGAGACACCCCCCCAATCCTTCCTCACAGCCTTAAGTTTAGGCAGATAGGAGATATGAGCACGTGTGTGTGTGTGTGTGTGCACGCGCACACACGTGCTGCTTCAGGGAGCGGGTTCTTTCTTACAAGAAGCAAGCCTGTCTGTGTGGGAGAGGGTGCATGTAAGGAGTAAATATGAGAACTACGTGCACATTCATACACACATGTCTGTGTGGCCCTGTGTGTGGTGTGGGCCCCTCTAACTACATTTCAGGCTTTATCAAGTGCCCTCCAGGATGTCTGTTTTGGTTGATCTAGAGGCCCCGCTTCAGCAGGCAGCAGGAGGGAAGCTGGTCCCCTGCTTCTTGCCCCAGGACTGCTGCCTGGAAGACTCTGGGCTTTCCAGTTCTGGGCCCCGTATCTTGGGACAAAGGGATCTTTGGTTTCATGGGTCTCTCAGCCTGACTCTGCTCCCTAGATTGGAGGGAAGCTTCAATGCCGGTTGGAGGCTGTGAGGGATTATACACATTCCCGGCCCCAGAGGCTCCCAGAGGCTCCCATCTGCCTCTCCAGACTTTCTGGGTGAGTTCAGCTAGCGAGGGCACGGGAGCCCAAAGACATGGAGGTAAGGCTAGGTAGGGGCACTCAAACCCACTCCTTCCTGGGATGTCCAGACAGTCCCCAAGGGACGAATAATCAGGAAGGCCTGGACATCCCTCACTGGAGGAAGGGGAAGTGGGAGGGTCTCTTCCCAAGTTCCACTCCTTTTGGGAAGTCTGTTAGAATAGCAGGGAGCTGGTTTCACATCCCTGTGGAAAAGAAGGGGGGCAGGAACGTTTCTGCCTCTAGTATCACTCTTCATATACGAACAAGAAATGTTGGAGTACCTGCAGTGTGCTAAGCTGCCCCATTTCATCCTCACAACAACTGCATGAGGTGGGCAATATTATTCCCACTGGACAAAAGAGAAAAACCGTGGGGCACCCGGGTGGCTCAGTTGGTTGGGCATCCGCCTTCAGCTCAGGTCATGATCCCAGGGTCCTGGGATGGAGCCCCGCATCGCGCTCCCTGCTCAATGGGGAGTCTGCTTCTCCCTCTCCCTCTGCCCCTCCCCCTGGTCTCTCTCTCTCAAATAGGTGGATAAACTCAAAGAAAAAAAGAGAGAGGGGCGCCTGGGTGGCTCAGTTGGTTAAGCGACTGCCTTCGGCTCGGGTCATGATCCTGGAGTCCTGGGATCGAGTCCCACATCGGGCTTCCTGCTCAGCAGGGAGTCTGCTTCTCCCTCTGACCCTCTTCCCTCTCGTGCTTTCTATCTCTCATTCTCTCTCTCTCTCAAATAAATAAGTAAAATAAAAAAAAAAAACTTAAAAAAAAAAAGAAAGAGAAACTGAGGCTGGGGGAGGGTAAGTGCCATGCCCAAGGTCATATAGCAGAAAAGTTCCAGGGCCGAGAGGCTGGCCCCCACATTTTCACTCCAAACACCACCGTCTCCCTACACACTGCGGTCGTTCCTTTCTCAACAGCCCCGCTGTGTGTCAGGCTACCCCTTTCCCTGCATGATTTGTCTTGGGAAGCAGGGCTAGCAGCCAGTGTGATTCCAAGCCAGTCCCCCTCCAATCCCTCTCCAGCTTTAATAACAACACCGGTGAGGTCACCGATGCCTGGAGCAGGCCTTCTCCCCTCTAAGCTCCTGTCAAGGGCCAGGCATCTGAATTTTGCCCCTGTTGTCTCCTTCTCTCTCCGGAATGGGCCTCCACAGTCCAGACTTGGTCACAGGGAGTGACAAGCAGCAAGTCCAGGGAGAGCTAACCCGGCCTTCCTCCCTTCAGTGCCTGCTTCCATTTTAAAGCCATCAGAGCCCGGTGCGTCTCCGTGCTTGGCTCAGAGCAGGACACACAGCCCCTCCTTCATCACCTTCTCGGGTTTTGTTTGCTTCTGTTTTCTTGAAAGCTGTGCAAAATAGTCTTAACAACTGTCCCTTCGGTGTATTACCTTCACAAAACGTTAAAAAAGGACCGCTTTGGACACATGGCTGTCTGCTCCCTCCCAAAGCCCCTTACAAAAGACACCAAAGGAACAGAAAGGTATGAATTCTCAAGGACAAAGAGAAGGGAGAGGAAGGCTCAGCAGATGAGAAATGACGAGCAGATTTTGAAGATGGCAAGTAGACAAAGGGCTTGGCAGAATCAGGGAAGATACCAGCTCAAAGCCAGCAAAGGGGGTTACTGAGGCACGCCAGGACCCAGTCTCAGGACTGGGAGGTACTGGGGTGAATCCTGGACTGAAAACGGCAGAGGCGGCATTGGGGGGGCGGCGTGCTGGCTGGAAATCTGTACATGGAAAACTCAGACTTCCTCTCCCCAGCCCACACAGCCAGGCTATGCCCTGGGAAGAGGCTAGAGCTTCATCTCTTGAGGACACAGTAGAGACATCAGTCATGGGGACACAGGCACCATGAGGTTGGAGCTGAAGAGAGTGGCTAAAAAGAGAGGGATGGTCTGAAAGTCTATCTAAGTCTGTCTGTCCAGCCCCGGCCCAAATCTCTGTTCCCAGATGTAGGTAGTAAAGTGTCACCTCCTCAGGGAGAAGTCCCCAGAGAGAAGACCTCAGATACAGACATTGGAGGTGCCTGGCTTCATCCATCTGGGCTGCTATAACAAAATACCATAGACTGGGTAGCTTATAAACAAGAGAAATTTGGGGCGCCTGGGTGGCTCAGTTGGTTAAGCATCTGCCTTCAGCTCAGGTCATGATCCTGGGGTCCTGGGATGGCCCCGTATCAGGCTCTCCGCTCAGTGGGGAGTCTGCTTCTCCCTCTGACCCTCCCCTCCTGGCTTGTGCTCTCTCTCTCAAATAAATAAATAAAATCTTCAAAAACAATAACAACAACAGAAATGTATTTTTCACAGTTCTGGAGGCTGGAAGTCCAAGATCAAGGGGCCCCAGATTCACTGCTTGGTGAGTGCGCCACTTGCTGGCTCACGATGGCTATCTTTTTGCTGTGTCCGAACATGGCAGGAAGGAGGAGGGACCTCTCTGAAGTCTCTTGTCTTAGGGGACTAATCCCACTCCTGAGGGCTCTACCCTCATGACCTAATCACCTCCCAAACGCCCCACCTCCAAATACCACCACTTTGAGGGTTAGGATTTCAACATATCAGTCTATGGTAGTGCTCCAGGGAAAAGCCAGCTCAGAACCCCCATCTAAAGTGGGGTGCATCAGCATAAGCCCGCTGTGCCCACTGAACTTCTAGGCTATTCCACCGGTCTCTCTCTTAATCATGCACTGAGAGACAAGGAGTCCTGGGGATTTGATGGAGACCAAACCA